CCTGCTGTCTCGAAAAGCCCCCCCCCACCCCGAAATACCTTCCTTTGCCTCTGAGAAGATGCTACGCAAACACGTGGCAGGTATCACTCACCAGGCTCCCGCGCTGCACATCATCAGCGTCAATGCGTGCAGCCTCAGAGTTACTTTCTTCAGTGACAGAGGTTGGCGCACATCTTCAAAGGGTCAACAAGTCTGACACGGCTTGCGCTGCCTACTCAAGAACATGTTTGCCGAATCTGAGCGTGCATCGCTACACATGAAGCTGGATGGATTTCTTCAACATTCAGGCCCCAACTGCATCAGGAAAGGGTTCTTCTTGACAGGCAGCCTCAAGCAGCGCATGCGAGCCGCAGATGTCGTAGTAGTAGTAGTAGTAGTAGTAGTAAGAAGAGTAAGAGTAAGAGTAAGAGTAGTAGTAGTGGTAGTAGTAGAATAAGTGGTAGTAATAATAATAGTAGTACTAGTTACTAGTAGTAATAATGGTAGTACAAGTACTAGTACTAGTACTTGTAGTAGCAGTCCCAAGGGTCACTGTTTAAGGCTCGATATCAATAGCTTTTTGCCCTGGCTTCCAGGGCATAGGTCTCTTGTAGATGTACCAACAGGCATGCTAAATCCGTGGTACACATATCCCCACATGCCGGCCATGTTCTATCAATATCATTTCGCCCTGGCTTCCAGGGCATAGGTCTAGATTCTACATGTACCAACAGGCATGCTTCCAATCCCTGGTACACATATCCCCAGATGCCGGCCATGTTCGGGAGGCCAGGGCAGCGCTGATCATCATTGCAAACCTCAGGCCAGCAACTGATGATTTTACAAGGGCTCCACCAAAACATGTGCAATGATTGCTGCTCTCTTGCTGCCCCTGCTTTTTAAACTGAGCTCGGAGGTGAAACATCGTCGGCTCCATGAAGCCTGCCGCCCTCTGACCTAGCCACTGGCAAGTCTTGTTGCAGCCTTGTCGTTGTTGCTGCTGCTCTTGCTGTTCTTGCTGTTACTGTTGCTGTTGCTG